GACAAGGAGAACCACCCTGCAGTGGCTCTGGTGGGAGAGGGGGCGGGGAAGGGCTGGCCTTCTGTGCTGGTCTGCCTTCTGCTGTTTGAGAAGGGGCTTGTGCCTGACGGGTGGGCCACGGTCTCCAGTACCGGCTTCGGGAACATGGGCTCAGTTCTCTACGATGTTTGAACAGCGTGGGGTGAAGCCCTCCTACCAAACCGACCCAGGGAAGTCCAGGTACTGTACCGCTGTCTGCAGCTGACGGCCTGTGGCATTCACCTGGAAAGAGAGACACAGCACCGTCAGGGAGACTCATCGTGTAAGATGTGCCTGCTGTCCCCTGAGTGCTCCCAGGAGGACCAGCCCAGGGCCGCCCTCTGCCAGCTCCATCTCATTTGGTCTTCACAGCAGCCTCCGCCTCTGAGGTAGATACAGCAGTCAACCCCCTTTCTCAGGTGAGGAGACTGAGCCTCAGAGAGGTCGCATGACTTGCCAAAGGAAAGACAGCCAGGCGGAGGTAGGGGTCCAGTTCCCATCTGACTGGAAGTCCCAGGCTGCCCTGCGGCGTGGAAAGCCCACTCTCCGGGATAGAAAAGCCTGGCCGCCACGGCATTTGCCAGTGTCCATCTGCCAAGGTCAATTGCAAGCTCAGGACAGCTGAAGGAGTTCTCACAAGATTCCTGAAGATCAAGCCATCAGCCCGTGGGAGCCCGCCCCAGCAGGCACCTACATAGCACTGACTCTGCCCCACAGTATCCAGTCAGCTCTCGAGAGCACGCCGCAGGAGGGTGGCTTCTCACTGCCTCCTGGGTTGGAGACCCTCTTTCAAGAAAAAAAGACTCAATACACAAAAGCATCCCCGCAATGGGGGCATTTCAAGGGTGCTCTCCAGAGCCCAGACACATGGACCCGACAGTGAGCCCCTGGGAAGGCCCGATAAACCCAGCCTTAACCAAGGCAGTCACTCAGAAGCAGGGCCCGAGAGCTCTGAGAACACCGAGAGGAAAGGAGGGACTCCAGGGAAGAGGACCCGGTGACAGGATGAGAGCTCAGCTGGGCTGGAGGGCCTTGTGCAGTCACCTGGCCGGGAGGTGTGGCCGGAACAGCAGGACCAAGAGGAGAAGCTACCTAGCGGGTGGGGACATGGGGGACGGGTGTGTGGAGCCAGGAGAGGGGAGAAAGAAGACTGGAGCCAGAGGAAGAGACCTGGCTCTGATCCTGCAACCCTACCCGAAACCCGGGTTGACCCGTGAAGCTGGAAGGGCCGCTTCTAGAAACTCACCTAGAAACAACACTTGACTGAGTGTCTGTGAGAAAGCAACAAGACCATTGATAGCAACATGAGACTGGACCCCGGCCTGCTCTGCCGGCCAGACAGCTACCTCTCAGAACTTCCGGACTCAGTTTCCCCACTGCGGGCTGGGCAACCGCAGTCCGGGTCACAGAGCTCTCATGGGATGGCGGCATTGAGGGCACCACCCACCACCAGGGGCGCCCCCATTTTTTCTCTTTTTTTGTAGAGACAGGGTCTCCCTCTGTTGCCCAGGCTGGAGTGCAGCGGCATGATCGTAACTCAATGCAGCCTCAAAGTGCTGGACTCAAGCAATTCTCCCGCCTCAGCCTCCCAAGTAGCTGGGACTACAGATACACACCACCATGCCCGGCTAATCTTTGAATTTTCTGTAGAGACAGGGCCTCGCTGTGTTGGCCAAGCTGGTCTCAAAACCTGGCCTTAAGCAATCCTCCTGCCTCAGCCTCTCCAAGTGCTGGAATCACAGGTGTGAGCCTCCGTGCCCGGCCTGGTGTTCCTGTGTTAACCCCAGTTCTACCCTCGTGACCTACAATCCAAGAGACCCACCAAGAGCTCTATGGCCCTGGGGAGACACTGCCACCCTTAGACTCACTCTCCCTCCCTGTCCAAACCTGGGCTAGGAGACGCTGGCCGTGGGCCACGGGGTCAGAGGAGGGAGCGATGGGGCCGGCACCGGGTCTGGGCGACTCTGGTTGACACCCGCCCGCCCCAGCAAGGAGACCCGACAAGTGTCTCTTCCGTGCCTCCGCTTCCCGCATTGTATACGAGCTTCATGGTCATCACTCAGCAGGGACACTGTGAAAATTCTGTGTGACGACCCTGTGAAGTGCCCAGCATGGGTCGGCATGGCGAGGTGGTCCACAGGCCACCGTGCGCAGCGGCCCTGGCATTGCTTCACCACAACCCGGATGCGAGCTGCAGGAGTCCATGGCGTCCTGACAGTTGGCACCATGTGGGGGCAGCTGCACGAGACCACCATCTTCCCAAAGGGTCTGGGTCACAGAACGGCCGGCCCGACCCAACAGAGGGGGCTGCCAAATGCTCCCATACCTGGGCACCCGCAGTGAGCTGGGTGAGTGCTAGGTGGCCGCGAGTGGGCTGGAGTCCACCCAGCTGGCCGCCAACGCCTTGTGACGGGCATAACTTCATGGCCCCGCGTGTGCCCAGATCTGCACTCGCACCACCCTGAGGAATCAAGGAGGCCTGACGGCCTGACCAAGACTCTAGGGAAAAGAGAAATGGGCCCAGGACTCTGCTTGGAATACCGCGCCGTTACCTGCCGAGGCACAGCGAGAGACAACTGGGTAGCGTCAGGAAGGACAGGTAAAGGTCTCGTCCACGCAGGGCCTGTGTGAGTACCCATCCTGACCAGTGTCTCCTGTGAACACCCACCACGACCAGTGTCCCGGGTAAACACCCGTCCCATGCAGTATCCTGTGTGATCACCTGTCCCATGCCGTGTCCCACGTGAGTGCCTCTCCCATACGGTGTCCCCGATGAGCACCCGTCCCATGCCGCGTCCTGTGTGAGCACTTGTCCTGTGCAGTGTCCCCTGTGAACACCCGTTCTCTGCAGGCCCCTGAGTGAGCACCCTCGCCCACAGCTGACGTCCGCAGTCTCTGCGCTGGGCCCGGAATCCACACTCAGCCGATTGGCTGACTCGCCCCGTGCTGAGCTGGGACCAAGGCAGACGTCATGCACGTCGGCTCAAGAGCCAAGCACACAAAAGGGAACCGCCCCACCCTCGTGCCCACTCCACGCCCTGTGGCCGGACCCCAGGGCTCTGATGGTGCCCGGCCGTGTCTGGCTGGGAGCCACGTATAGGGAACCTGAAGTCGCTCAGACACTCGGGAGACGTCAGTGAGCAAGAGAACTCCGTGTGGACGCAGGGCCCCTGCTGGCCTCAGGGAACCGCCCGGTGAGGTGTCCCTCCGGCACCAGCTCCCCCAAGCCACTCCGTGCCCACACGAGTGACTGAGCATCACGCAGAGAGGGACCAGTGGCCGCCTCTGGCTTCTTGCGGCTTCGAGTCTCCCTGCTTTACAGATGGGAAGCCTGAGGGTCAGGGATTAAATGCCTTCCTGTGCCTCAGTTTCCCCACCTGTGAACTAGAGATAGCCACAGTGCCTGTCTCTTAGCGCAAGAGCAGGGCCCGGTGCCTAGTAAATACCCTGTGGCCCGTGTAGCGTGCAGGAGGACCGTCTGTGGGGACGCCCTCCAGGCCGTGCTGCTCGATGGAGGTTAACCGGTCACCCCTGCTTCTAGGGTGGCCACCACGTGTGAGGCAGGCTCCAAGTGCCACACAAGGGTGGCCTAAAGCAGCAGAAATCCTCTCTCTCTCGATTCTAGAGGCCGGGAGTCTGGAACCAAGGTGCCAGCAGGGCCATGCTCCCTCTGCAGGCTTAGGGGAAGATGCCTCCTGCCTCCCGAGCTTTGGGCGGCTCTGGGTGCTCCTTGGCTTGTGGCCGCATCGCTCCAGGCCCAGCCGTGCTTGTCACATGACTTTTGTCCCTGTGAGTCTGTGCCCAAATTCCCCTTTCTCTAGGGACACTAGTCATCGGCCTTAGGGTCCAACCTGATCCAGTGAGACCTCATCCTGATCAGATTCCCTCTGCAAAGATTCTATTTCCAAGTAAAGTCACATTCAGGGTCCCGGGAGTTGTGGCTTCTGCACACCTTTGGTGGGGGACACAATTCCACCCACAGCGATGAGAAAGTCCTGGTGTGTGCAGCTGTGGCTGCCAGAGTCAGGATGGGGTGGGCGGGGCCCAGAGTGGCTGTGTAATGGCCCCATGCCACACAGCAAGTTCCGTGATGAAGGCAGCCTCTCGCCAGCGGACCTGGCCTCTCTGGGCCTCTGGGCCTCTGGTTTTCACGCACAGCGCTGACCCCAAGCCCCCCTGGCCCAGCCCAGCTTCCACCTGCCCCGCCAGCTACCAAGTACAAAGGCCAGGGACACCACGGGGGGCTGGCCTACTCACCGGGGTTGCCCCCTCCAAGACCATCGAGACACCTAGACCCTGGACTCCCCTGCAACCTTTGCCACCCAGGCGAGGTGGAAGACGGAGCCCCTCGAAGGTTCTCAACCCACGCTGCCCCGTGTGGCAGCCACGAGCCACGGGAGGCAGCACGGGGCTTGAGGGGCGGTGGGTCCAGGCTGTTGTGTGCCGTAGGCATGAAACACACACCAGGTTTCAGACTGACACCAAAAAGGGGTGTGAAAAATCTCGTTCTTCATGTTCGTGTTAATGACAAACTATTGGAATAATATTTTGGCCGTATCGCATTAAGTAAAATTTGTTACTGCAATCAATAACACCCGTTTCTCATTACCCTGCTAGTGTGTTTGCTAGAAAATATAAGATTAGGCTGGGCTCGGTGGCTCAGCCTGTCATCCCAGAACTTTGGGAGGCTGAGGCGAGTGGATTGCCTGAGCCCGCGGGTTGGAGACCCGCCTGGGCCACTTGGCAAGACCTCGTCTCTACAATAAATCAAAAATGAGCCGGGCGTGGTAGCACGCGCCTGTAATTTCAGCTCCTTGGAAGGCTGAGGCGGCAGGATCGCCGGAGCCCAGCGGGTCGAGGCTGCGGTGGCCGGGAACGGCCCCTGCACTCCCACTCAAAAGAAAAGAGAGAGAGAGAAAGAAAATGTAAGATTATACACGTGGCTGTTGTTCTATTTCTGTAGGACGGACGGCCCTGACCTCAAAGTGGCTTCTTGGTAGTTTGCTGCCTTCTGACCGCCAGGTGGCAGCATTTCTCCGACAGAGGGGTTGAGAAAGTGCCCTCAGCCCTCCCTCCCCC